GGGTTTTTATTTGGAGGTATTTCTTTTTTTTCTGTTTTCTCAAGAAGGACTATGAATTTTTCAAAAGTAAAAATACAGAAAATTCTGTTTTTAGTTGCTTTATCCAAATATGCCAATTTCAAAAATTAGTGAAAGAGCCCATTTTGGGGTTGGCCCAGGTCAAATCCCCAAAATTTCAGATCAAAAGCGCCGCCGATCTAGAGATTTTCCCACGGTATCGAAAAACTTCCCAGGCTCAAGTGCCCCCGGCTATCAGACCAATACCCACCTCTACTACGTAAAAACTCCCCTCCAGCACAGTCATTATACCACTAAAGTTCGCCTTACAAGTCTAGCACTATGGAAAGAATGCGGATAAAAAAATTGCAATATTGCCTATTTGACTTCCAATAAGAAATACCTTAATATTTATTTATATTATACACCTACATTTATAAGGAAAAAGTAATATTCAAAAACGTTGGACGCTCGCCTATGACAAGCAGCATAAAGCTCGAAATGAATGGCGTTATGTCCCCTTGCTCTTCAGACGTCGTAGTGCTAGACTCGTGAGGCGAACTTTACCCACCTCCACTATACCCCCTTCCGTGAAGCTCCTACCCTGAGGAGGCACTTTTTACCCACCTGCACTGTAAACCCTCTTCCGTAAAGCCCTCCATTAATCTATTTTCAAAAGGCTCTTACCCTGAGATGGCACTTTATTATATCCCTTTACTTTCTTGAAAACTAAAGAATATTTAACCAATTCTTGCATTTGTATTCGAATTCGTCAATTTTGGGGTTGGCCCGGGTCAAATCCCCAAAATTTCAGATCAAAAGCGCCGCCGATCAAGAGATTTTCCCACGGTATCGAAAAACTTCCCAGGCTTAAGTGCCCTCGGCTATCAGACCAATACCCACCTCTACTACGTAAGTGGTCCACCAGATTCACAAGCAAAATGTTATTATTGCAATGGAGTTTAGAACACTATTGACGAATACAAATGCAGGAATTGTTGAAATATTCTTTAGTTTTCAAGAAAGTGAAGGGATATGGAAAGAAGTACCTCTTCAGAGTAAAAGCTTTTTGACGTAGTGGAGGTGGGTATTGCTCTGATAGCTGTGAGGTGGGTATTGGTCATAAACAGGTGCATTAATTTTATTGCAATAATAAATATTTTGCTTGTGAATCTGCTAGCCTGATAGCTGGGGGCACTTGAGCCTAGGAAGTTTTTCGATACCGTGGGAAAATCCCTAGATCGGCGGCGCCTTTTGAAAATAGATTAATCGTGGGCTATGATGGCTATGCTGGAGGGGGGCTTTTACGTGGTAGAAGTGGGTATTGTTCTGATAGCTGTGAAAACACTCTACTCTTTACCCTTATAGTCGTCCTTTTTTTCCAATTTTAGCAAACACCGCAAAAAACTTACGCAAGCACCAAGCAGCACTAGCTCCCGCAGCTGGAAAACGAATATGGAAAGGTGTGAACTACGTTGTTTGGAATATATTACCATTCCCTTCTTAGACACTCGTCCGAATGTAAATTAAAGAATGCTGGTAAACGTTTTTGGGCGTGGTTTCTGGAGAAGTTTTTGCGCCACCGGCGGGCTGTTCACCCCCCCCCCCCCCCCCTCATAAATGCCGGTACATGAACATCAGCACCCACGAGGTTTTCTGAAACCCGGCGCCCCTGTATGGATGTACTACAAGATAAAGCTGAAGATGAAATAAATTAAATCCAGGAATTGTTAAAATTCTTGAGATGTTTTAAATAAAACGTTTTTTTTTTTTAATGAATTTTTGACCTATCCGGATTTCTACTTTAAAATTTCAACCTTCCAATGCTCTTCTTACTCGAGAAGATAATTGAAAGAGTCAAACATTAAATGACTATAAATTTAGTAAAGAGTTGATAGGGATGGACACACAAATTTTATTCACACCGACTCTATTTAGAGCAAATGCTTTTAGTGTGGGATAAAAGTACGATGTCTCACTAGAAAATGATAGAAATCAGACTCTTCAGGATCTACGAGATAGTGCATTGGTTGATGATTTCCGACAACTTCTCCCAATAATCCACCGGTAGATGAAATCAGAGCATGCATTAAATCATCAAGCTTATAGGCGAAAGTTGAAAAATTCAGTCTGAAAACTAATATGAAAGTGCATTTTCATAATGACATAGATTATGCAGATATCCTATTGAAAATCGCTGATGGACGTTTCGAAGCAGATGCTGAAGGTTATATTTCACTTTCCAGAAAATGTTCTAATTTAGTAAAGAATGATGTAGGTCTTATTGCTAAAGTTCATTCGGACTTGCTAAAAAATTTAAATAGTGAACAGTGGCTGTGCACAAGAGCAATATTAGCGCCGGAAAATGACATAATCGTTAATAAAATCAACACTAACATTTTAAGAAATGTGTAGGGGGAAATGAAGGAGTATCTATCAATAGATACAATCATGGATACAGAACAAAGTACTTCATATCCCGCAAAGTTCTTAAATTTGCTTGAACTTTCGGGTATACCCTCACATAAACTTCAATTGAAACTAAATGTACCAGTCATGCTTATGCAAAATCTCGATGCTTCTAGATTATGTAATGGTACGAGGCTTCGGATCACACAATTTGGACAAAATATACTTGGTGGCATTATTTTAACAGGTGTCGGAAAAAGGGGAAAGTGTCATTATACCTCGAATTTCACTTATCCACATTGACCTACCGTTTCAATTCAAACGAATTCAATTCCCAATCAAGCTCAGTTTTGCTGTTATCATTAACAAAGCGCAAAGGCAAACATTGCAGGTAGCAGGGGTCCATTTGGAAATGCCATGTTTTTCTCATGTTATTTTAAATGGGACACCCTGTATATTATCTTTTTTTTGGACTCTCTGAATAATTTTAAATAACTTTTGTTTAACATACCCTATATCAAAAATTGATAGTTTTTGAAATAGAATGGCTCAAAAATATAATTCCTATTTGTTTGTATTTTACGTAAAAACTGCCATTTCCGGTAAAACCGGAAAAGATTTTCAATTGTTTTTATATTGAAATTGTTCACAATTTTCCACCCTATCAACAAACCGAGTTGCATATTTCTATCTCGAGCCGTTAAGAAATGCCGCCATGGGTAGTATAGTTTCATTGTCACTCGGTATATTGACACCCCACGTACAACCTTTACCTTTACAGATAGATGGAAGGTGTAAATATAAAAGTTGTACAGTATTGACTAAATTTTTAGAATCCATAATTAGAAACAAAAATTGGACGTCAAAAATGTAAAATATTGCATGCTTTCAGCTTTTTCCAAATGGGATGCGGTATATTTGGTTCTATATTCTTGAAGAACACAATTTTCCGATTCTAAAACTATATAGTTTGTCTATATTTGGTTAAGCCATCTCCAACATATTTGGTTCTAAAAATTTTGAAAATACTATCAGAGAAACCAAGTACCTCAAATTTTACCTGCAGTTTTCACCCATACAGGTAGAATGGTTCACAAAATCAGTAGTAGGATAGTATTTTTACAATTTTTGGAGCCGAATATATAAGAGATTGCTCAATCAAATATAGATCAAGGCATATAGTATCCCATTTGAAAAAAAGCTAGAAGCATGAAAAATCTCACATTTCTAACATTCAAATTTTATTTCTGATCATGGTTTCTATAAATTCAGTTAAAACTGTACAACTTTTCTATTCACACCTTTTTTCTACCTGTAAAGGTAGAGGCTGAAGTTAGGGTGTTAATATTTAAAAAACACCTTGTACAAATAAATGGATTATTGCGGAACTTATGGGTGGACCTCTGCGGGACGAGCGCAGCGAGTTCCGCAGTTATCTACTCACCAATATACCTACGGTTGAACTGTTTAAGTAAGACATTCACCTGAAACGTGTAGTTTTTAAACTAATGAGAGTCAGGTTAGTATCGTAGTTAAACAACATATTGATGAATAGATGGCTGCGGAACTCGCTACGCTCGTCCCGCAGAGGTCCACCCATAAGTTCCGCAACAATTCATTCATTTGTACTTGAATAACTTGTCCCATTATGTTACTAGTTTGGTAAAGTAACATTACTAATTCCTGTTGAAAGGCGAATTGACAAAAAGTGGATAATCTTACAAATTCTGACTTTATATAATAAGTTATTATTCAAGTACTGAGATAGAACTTGAATTTAGGGGTGGTGGTTCAGTGGCGAATTGGGAACAAAAATAATTCCAAGACAGACTTCAATTTCATTGCATATAAATACAGCTGAAATAAATGTTCCAGTAAAATATAGATAATAATATCAGAGATATAATTTACCTGACACTACGTAAACTATATCCAATAATAAATCCTTTATTGTCGGTAGAGCATGAGACTCTTAATCTCAGGGTCGTGGGTTCGAGCCCCATGTTGGGCGCCAAGATGAGACAGAACTCGAATTTAAGGGTTTGTGGTTCATTGGCGAATTGGAAACAAAAAGAATTCCAAGACACCTTTCGGTTTTATTGCGTATAAATACAGCTGAAATAAATGTTCCAGTAAAATATAGATAATAATATCAGACATATAATTTACCTGACACTACGTAAACTATATCCAATAATAAATCCTTTATTGTCGGTAGAGCATGAGACTCTTAATCTCAGGGTCGTGGGTGGGGCCCCACGTTGGGCGCCAAGATGAGACAGAACTCGAATTTAAGGGGTGGTGGTTCAGTGACGAATTGGGAACAAAAAGAATTCCAAGACAGATTTCGTTTTTATTGCGTATAAATACAACTGATATAAATGTTCCAGTAAAATATAGATAATAATTATCAGACATATAATTTACCTGACACTCCGAAAACTATATCCAATAGAGGATTTATACAATATTAATATAATTTCGACACGAAAAGATGCCAGCCGCAGTACACGTGATAATTAATAATCTTTGAGTGACGACCTAATTCGAGCCCATTTAGTACCAGATCTCGACAATTTGGTGAACCTTGAACATTATATTTCATCTGTCCCCCAAGCTCTTGGACTTCCATAAATTTTGGAACGCGCAGGAGCTTCATTTCGCTTATCCACTCGGTGGAACATATCTCCGCATATGACTGACATGAAAGGTGCCTCGCTCAGCTTTGGAATCCGGATTTCCCAAAACATACGTGAAAACTGACCAGGACCCAGATCCCGAACCTCCGATTCGTTAGTATCGTCCATATAAATTACATAGACGATACTATCGAATCCTGGGTTCGGGATCCGGGCCCTGTTTCGTAATCCTAAAAGGGCCAGTGAAAAGCAGTAACATTTTTTTCGTTTCCGTTGATATTGTTGACGACACCGCGTTTGTGCGCAACAAAACAAGGTCCCCAATTTTGAAAGGCTCATAGGGACGCAACGCATATCCTGAAGTGCTTCTTTTGCCAATATTAGCTTCTGGTCATGTGATATTTCTCCGTGCTTCGCCTTCTGAGGTCGGAGTTTAGATGGTAGCAAAAACTTTGCAGGTTTATTAAAATGTAGTTCCACAGGAGTAAATCTGGTTGATTAATAATTCGTGAACCATGTTATTCAAAAAATGCTCAAAGTTGTTAATTTCATACGCTCATTTTGTATTTATTCTTCGAGTGGCGATATACGCGACATAACCGGCCTAACTCTTTCATTATACGTCACGAACGCATAAGTTTTTTCGGGGCGTACAAAACTTGGGCAGCAATGAAACGTGAGACGTGATGGTCAAATATGTATCGGGATATAAAAAAAAACCGAATACGGTCGTGCGAAATTTGCCAGAAAAGCAAACAAGTTATTCTGGCAAAGCCTGGCTAGCTCAGTCGGTAGAGCATGAGACTTTTAATCTCAGGATCGTAGGTTCGAGCCCCACGTTGGGCGCCAAGATGAGACAGAACTCGATTTTAAGGGGTGGTGGTTCCATTCCAAGACAGATTTCGGTTTTATTGCGTATAAATACAGCTGAAATAAATGTTCCAGTAAAATCTAGATAATAAAATCAGACATATAATTTACCTGGCACTACGTAAACTATATCCAATAAAGGATTTACGCAATATTAATATAATTTCGACATGAAAAGATGACAGCCGTAGTAGGGGAAAGTGTTCCACAATGAGAAAAAAGTTGCTTTTCGGTAAATAGCCAGGAGATATGATTGAATTTTGTAATTTCGATGTTGCATGTTCATAGATTGACATATTTCTCATAATTTAATGCAATTAGATTATCATTGTATCCATTCAAAAAATAAATAGGGCAATTTTTCAAAAACGTCTCATTGTAGAACAAGTATGTTCCACAGTGAGACAAGTCCTTTTACACCCAAAAATACTACAAAGAATATTGAAGAAAATCTTTATAAAAGAGAATCAACCATTGTTTTAAAGAAACAGTAGAGCAACTTACAATATTAATCCGACAAATCAAAAATATAATAAAACTCTTCAATATATGAACACACATTTAATGAGGTTGAATTAACTTTGAAACGTATTAGAGACTGTTGCCTCTTAGTTTTCCCAGTCGTTTAATGTTTGGAAAGTATCAGCATGATGGTTTTTTCTTCTGCCATACTTATATCTACTGTTACGGGGTAGAAAGAGTAGTTGTCAGATCGTCTCATTGTAGAACAAAACCAGGTAGATTATTGCGGAACTTATGGGTGGACCTCTGCGGGACGAGCGCAGCGAGTTCCGCAGCCATCTACTCACCAATATACTGTTGAACTGTTCAAGTGAGACATTCACGTGAAACGTGTAGTTTTTAAACTAATGAGAATAACTGACATTTGAGTGAGTTAGGTTAGTATTGTACTTGAACAACATATTGGTGAATAGATGCCTGGGTTCACTCATAACATATTAATAAATAGATGGCTGCGGAACTCGCTGCGCTCGTCCCGCAGAGGTCCACCCATAAGTTCCGCAATAATTCACTCATTTGTACTTGAATAACTTGTTACATTATGTTACTAGTTTGGTAAAGTAATATTACTAATTCCTATTGAAACGGAAATTGACAAAAAGTGAATAATCATAATCTCACAAATTTTGACTTTATATAATAAGTTATTGTTCAAGGACAAATAAGTGGACTATTGCAGAACTCATGGGTGGACCTCTGCGGGACGAGCGTAGCGAGTTCCGCAGCCATCTACTCACCAATATACTGTTGAACTGTTCAAGTAAGACATTCACCTGAAACGTGTAGTTTTTAAACTAATAAGAATAACTGACATTTGAGTGAGTTAGGTTAGTATTGTACTTGAACAACATATTGGTGAATAGATTCCTGGTTTCACTCATAACATATTAATAAATAGATGGCTGCGGAACTCGCTGCGCTCGTCCCGCAGAGGTCCACCCATAAGTTCCGCAATAATTCACTCATTTGTACTTGAATAACTTGTTACATTATGTTACTAGTTTGGTAAAGTAATATTACTAATTCCTATTGAAACGGAAATTGACAAAAAGTGAATAATCATAATCTCACAAATTTTGACTTTATATAATAAGTTATTGTTCAAGGACAAATAAGTGGACTATTGCAGAACTCATGGGTGGACCTCTGCGGGACGAGCGTAGCGAGTTCCGCAGCCATCTACTCACCAATATACTGTTGAACTGTTCAAGTAAGACATTCACCTGAAACGTGTAGTTTTTAAACTAATAAGAATAACTGACATTTGAGTGAGTTAGGTTAGTATTGTACTTGAACAACATATTGGTGAATAGATTCCTGGTTTCACTCATAACATATTAATAAATAGATGGCTGCGGAACTCGCTGCGCTCGTCCCGCAGAGGTCCACCCATAAGTTCCGCAATAATTCACTCATTTGCACTTTAATAACTTGTTACATTATGTTACTAGTTTGGTAAAGTAATATTACTAATTCCTATTGAAACGGAAATTGACAAAAAGTGAATAATCATAATCTCACAAATTTTGACTTTATATAATAAGTTATTGTTCAAGGACAAATAAGTGGACTATTGCAGAACTTATGGGTGGACCTCTGCGGGACGAGCGCAGCGAGTTCCGCAGCCATCTACTCACCAATATACTGTTGAACTGTTCAAGTAAGACATTCACGTGAAACGTGTAGTTTTTAAACTAATGAGAATAACTGACATTTGAGTGAGTTAGGTTAGTATTGTACTTGAACAACATATTGGTGAATAGATGCCTGGGTCCACTCATAACATATTAATAAATAGATGGCTGCGGAACTCGCTGCGCTCGTCCCGCAGAGGTCCACCCATAAATTCCGCAATAATTCACTCATTTGTACTTGAATAACTTGTTACATTATGTTACTAGTTTGGTAAAGTAATATTACTAATTCCTATTGAAACGGAAATTGACAAAAAGTAAATAATCATAATCTCACAAATTTTGACTTTATATAATAAGTTATTGTTCAAGGACAAATAAGTGGACTATTGCAGAACTCATGGGTGGACCTCTGCGGGACGAGCGTAGCGAGTTCCGCAGCCATCTACTCACCAATATACTGTTGAACTGTTCAAGTAAGACATTCACGTGAAACATGTAGTTTTTAAACTAATGAGAATAACTGACATTTGAGTGAGTTAGGTTAGTATTGTACTTGAACAACATATTGGTGAATAGATGCCTGGGTCCACTCATAACATATTAATAAATAGATGGCTGCGGAACTCGCTGCGCTCGTCCCGCAGAGGTCCACCCATAAGTTCCGCAATAATTCACTCATTTGTACTTGAATAACTTGTTACATTATGTTACTAGTTTGGTAAAGTAATATTACTAATTCCTATTGAAACGGAAATTGACAAAAAGTAAATAATCATAATCTCACAAATTTTGACTTTATATAATAAGTTATTGTTCAAGGACAAATAAGTGGACTATTGCAGAACTCATGGGTGGACCTCTGCGGGACGAGCGTAGCGAGTTCCGCAGCCATCTACTCACCAATATACTGTTGAACTGTTCAAGTAAGACATTCACGTGAAACATGTAGTTTTTAAACTAATGAGAATAACTGACATTTGAGTGAGTTAGGTTAGTATTGTACTTGAACAACATATTGGTGAATAGATGCCTGGGTCCACTCATAACATATTAATAAATAGATGGCTGCGGAACTCGCTGCGCTCGTCCCGCAGAGGTCCACCCATAAGTTCCGCAATAATTCACTCATTTGTACTTGAATAACTTGTTACATTATGTTACTAGTTTGGTAAAGTAATATTACTAATTCCTATTGAAACGGAAATTGACAAAAAGTGAATAATCATAATCTCACAAATTTTGACTTTATATAATAAGTTATTGTTCAAGGACAAATAAGTGGACTATTGCAGAACTCATGGGTGGACCTCTGCGGGACGAGCGTAGCGAGTTCCGCAGCCATCTACTCACCAATATACTGTTGAACTGTTCAAGTAAGACATTCACCTGAAACGTGTAGTTTTTAAACTAATGAGAATAACTCACATTTGAGTGAGTTAGGTTAGTATTGTACTTGAACAACATATTGGTGAATAGATGCCTGGGTCCACTCATAACATATTAATAAATAGATGGCTGCGGAACTCGCTGCGCTCGTCCCGCAGAGGTCCACCCATAAGTTCCGCAATAATTCACTCATTTGTACTTGAATAACTTGTTACATTATGTTACTAGTTTGGTAAAGTAATATTACTAATTCCTATTGAAACGGAAATTGACAAAAAGTAAATAATCATAATCTCACAAATTTTGACTTTATATAATAAGTTATTGTTCAAGGACAAATAAGTGGACTATTGCAGAACTCATGGGTGGACCTCTGCGGGACGAGCGTAGCGAGTTCCGCAGCCATCTACTCACCAATATACTGTTGAACTGTTCAAGTAAGACATTCACGTGAAACGTGTAGTTTTTAAACTAATGAGAATAACTGACATTTGAGTGAGTTAGGTTAGTATTGTACTTGAACAACATATTGGTGAATAGATGCCTGGGTCCACTCATAACATATTAATAAATAGATGGCTGCGGAACTCGCTGCGCTCGTCCCGCAGAGGTCCACCCATAAGTTCCGCAATAATTCACTCATTTGTACTTGAATAACTTGTTACATTATGTTACTAGTTTGGTAAAGTAATATTACTAATTCCTATTGAAACGGAAATTGACAAAAAGTGAATAATCATAATCTCACAAATT